CCCCATGTGAGTACTCTTGGCAATGCGCCCTCCATGCTGACCCAATGGCCCTGCTGCGACTGCTGGGCTGCCTTCTGGATCCAAACCTCGTTTTCGTTGTCCCTAACTTGTTTTTTTTTACCATGTCTCGGCGCTCTTTGGTTGTGGCTTTGGACCCCCAATTGACCTTTCCGAGACCCAGGCCTCGACGGTCGGTTTGAGTGTTTCCCATTATCTTCTTCAATTTTAGTGCATTCTGAGCAGATTCGATCGAATCGAGGACTTTCCACTTCTGACCAGTCTTGAGAGCGGGCTGGACAGCGATGACATTTGGGTCTGAAGACTCGCGTAAAAGCATGGCAAGTCTTACTTTGCCAGATTTAAACTCTTCGGTTATCAATTTGAACGGGAGTACCAGCTTAGCCTGCTTACAATACAGAGCCACGTCAGTCAGACAAGGCGGTGCACCAATCCACTTTCTTAAGGGTGTGTTGATTTTTTTCTCCATCGTCTCCACTGCAGTCATCGTCACTTCGTAGACTAACAGCGGCCAGAGGAGTTTTGGAATCAACATGAATTGGAGACACCAGACCTTAAACTTCCCGATCAGCCTGCTGCGCTCGATCGCGAGCAGGCCTGTAGCCAGTGACTCGTGTATTCGCCGGACCTCCGCTCTATCAGATAACTTCGAATCGTAAACGCGACCAAGGCTCTTCACCGGTTCTTCCAGAACCGTGAGGATCTTATTCCTTGCCACCGTAAAACTGGTTGCCGACACCTTGCCCTTATGGATTGACAGACTCCGCGACTTCTGCGGTTTGAACTGCATTCCGCTCCATTGGACCATCGCGTCCAATCTTTTCAGGATCGTGTAAACAAGGGTAAACAAGAATAGACCCCCTGCCTCCCCAATTAGCATATCGTAGAAGTCGACGATTAGGGGTTTCTTCTGAAGCCTGAGAAGCAAGTCCGTATTCAAAAAAGTCAGATCTGTAAAACGGTTGCACACGCAACACTCAGGTTATGGGACAAGTCTTTAAGTCCAGATGTGGGTGAACAACCATAACTTTTCGCCGGAGATTACAGGCAGTGAACGCGAAGAAGATCCTCACTGCACACTCGACAAGTCACGAAACGCTCGGATAGTACCATTTACGTTGCTGTTTATTTTACCTCTTTGGCACCTGTAGAGTGGTCATGTTTAAGGATACGTCTTTTGACCTTGTGGTGTTTTGAAAAGCTGAAATGATTATTGAAACCGTAACAGATAATCGACAAAGAGGTTTGTGTGCTGGGTTCTTACGTGGGAGACCTGTAGTTCGAGCCTCGGTAAGTGATGAAGATTGTTTTTTTTTTTTTCCTGGGGACAAAATAGAAACCATCATCTACACAGTTTGTACCATCTGCACTAGATATGCGCCTTTAATGCCCAGACTCATGTAACAACTGCCCTAGATATGCGCCTTTAATGCCCAGACTCATGTAACAACTGCCCTAGATATGCGCCTTTAATGCCCAGACTCATGTAACAACTGCCCTAGATATGCGCCTTTAATGCCCAGACTCATGTAACAACTGCCCTAGATATGCGCCTTTAATGCCCAGACTCATGTAACAACTGCCCTAGATATGCGCCTTTAATGCCCAGACTCATGTAACAACTGCCCTAGATATGCGCCTACTATACCCAGACATGTGTCACAACTGCCCTAGATATGAGCCTACTATACCCAGACATGTGTAACAACTGCACTAGATATGCGCCTTTAATGCCCAGGCTCATGTAACAACTGCCCTAGATATGCGCCTTTAATGCCCAGACTCATGTAACAACTGCCCTAGATATGCGCCTTTAATGCCCAGACTCATGTAACAACTACCCTAGATATGCGCCTACTATACCCAGACATGTGTCACAACTGCCCTAGATATGCGCCTACTATACCCAGACATGTGTAACAACTGCACTAGATATGCGCCGTTAATGCCCAGACTCATGTAACAACTGCCCTAGATATGCGCCTTTAATGCCCAGACTCATGTAACAACTGCCCTAGATATGCGCCTTTAATGCCCAGACTCATGTAACAACTGCCCTAGATATGCGCCTTTAATGCCCAGACTCATGTAACAACTGCCCTAGATATGCGCCTATTATACCCAGACATGTGTAACAACTGCACTAGATATGCGCCTACTATACCCAGACATGTGTAACAACTGCACTAGATATGCGCCTACGATACCCAGACATGTGTAACAACTGCACTAGATATGCGCCTACGATACCCAGACTCGTGTAACAACTGCACTAGATATGCGCCTACTATACCCAGACATGTGTAACAACTGCACTAGATATGCGCCTACGATACCCAGACATGTGTAACAACTGCACTAGAAATGCGTCTACGATACCCAGACTAGTGTAACAACTGCACTAGATATGGGCCTAAATTTCCAGACTCGTGTAACAACTGCACTAGATATAAATACGCTTTTGATACCCAGACTCGTGTAA